GTTACCTTTCTGCTCATAAATTCTCTGTCTTATACCCTCTCTCTCACACTATGCCTGAGGAAGGAGCTGAGCTCTGAAAGCTTGTATTTTCAAATAAACTTGTTGGACTATAACCTGGTGTCATGTGATTTTTGACCATGTCCACCCCAGTCCAAAGCTGGCACCTCCACATCATGAGTACATGTCATATGTACTCAAGTTACAAAAGGACAGCAGTACAGTAAAACATGTACAATGTTGCCAAAGCACAGCACCATCTTAGGTACAAAATACCTAGGTACAATCGTAGGTACAAAAAAAGAGAGAAAATAAAGAAAAAACTTATACTTTGTATATCTGTAATGTAGTGTAAGTTAGGAAAATAAGAAATAAAGCTAAAAAGATAGACATCACAGGCTTTCTGTAAGGGCTTTGACCTGGTCTGATTGGGCTCCACCGGTTCCAAACCAGTAGCTATCTTCATTCCAGACCTGCAGGCCACGGACTCTACTGCTCCGGGTCACTGGCCGTCCGCCCCCGCTCCGGGTCACTGGTCACCCCACTCTGGGTCGCTGGCAGTAGAGAAAATCAAAACGCGTGAGGGAGAAAGAAGGAAAGGAACGGACGGAGCAGACGAGCTACAGCTGGAGTGTCCTACTCTGCCACCATCTTGGAGAGCTGTGAGTACAAAAGAAATTCATTGGTAATGACATGCTCACAATCCTATAGGCAGTAGACACAGTCTGAGCACATGAAGACATTCATTGACCAAAAGACCAGTTTTAATTAATTACACCAGAAGAAAGATGTGCAAGAGCTCCAGATGACCACACGAGTTCACAAACAAAAGAAATGTCCTACATGTAGATTAAACTATAGAGCTTGTGAAAAGCCCAATCACGGGGGAAAGACATGCAGAACAAAGAAAGCAGATGGTAAGTCAGTTATCAGTGACAAAACAACAAAAAAAATGATTAAACATCTATAAACCCTGGGAGATGACAATGAGTTTGAGGACATAATAGGCACGGGAACCATATAACTTAATGAAATGTCTAGATGTAATAGTTCCAGAAAAAAAGAAATTCACACAACAATTCAGATCAGGAAGAGGGTGACAAATAAGCCCACAGTTGTAAATCTGAAACTTGATACTGGAGCATAAAGTATCATGCCACTCAGACTGATTCAAAAGATCTCTCCTGAAACTTTCAAAGAAAATATACACCCAAGGAAGAACACTCTGAAACTGAGCAATATCATGCAATGGCATGTGGCAGAACTGAGGTTTAGCAAATGGGATCAGCTCACACAGAGGGACTCACAAAGGAAGAGATGACTTTACTGTATGTCATACATTGCTGGACCAGGTGGTGCTTCTGTTCTGGGGTTGAGTAGTTGTGAACAGCTGCAGCTTAACTCAGTGAACCATGAGATTAACATAAAAATAGCACACCCAGTGAAAACTGCCACCCAATCAGATAGAAAGAACATAAAGGATCTGGTACAAACGTAACCAAAGTCTTTCAAAGAAACTGTCAGATGCTTTGCAGATTTTGAATATCACCTCACAACTGAACAAGGGATGAAACCAGTGATTCATTCCTTGTGTAAAGTATATTAAAAAATTTGATAACGAGTTCTAAGAGATGAAAGAAAGGGAGGTGATGGCCTGAGTCACAAAGTCTATAGATTCTGTAAATTTCTTCATGGTGGAGTAGCCAAATGGGCAGCAAAACATTTGCCTAGATCCCAAACATTTGAATTCAGCAATAAAGAGAAATCACTACTCTACTCCAACATTGGCAAAGATCACACAAGCGCTAGCTGGACCAAAGGTTTACAGCAAGCTTGACGCTACAAATAGCAAATGTAGAGTCTGACAAAGAATCTTTGCTGTTGACAACATTCAACACATCCTTTGATCATTACAAATTCTTGCATCAATGTTACAGTCGTTAAATGAACCAGGATGTGTTCTGGTAAAAACAGACAACATACCAAGGACGTAGAGAAGCAGCTGATTTGTTTTGATTTGATGTGATTTATTATTGTCACATGTACCTAAGTACAGTGAAAAGTTTTGCTTTGCAAGCAGTACAGGCACGTCATAACATACAAGGACATACAGATCATAGGGTGCTTAGACAGAGTGAGGCATACAAGGTTACGACTGCACAGGAGGTGCAGAAAAGCAAGGTCAACATCAGATTTGAAATTAGAGATCTCCATTCAGCAGTCCAATAACAGCAGGGAAAAAGCTGTTCTTGAATCTTTTGGTGTATGTGTTCAAGCTTCTGTATCTTCTGCCTGATGGAAGAGGTTGGAAGAGAATATTACTGGGGTGGGAGGGCTCTTGGATGATGTTGACAGCCCTTCTGCAGCAACAAGAAGTGTAGATGGAGTCCATGGATGGAAGGTTGTCTTCCGTGATGGTCTAGGCTGTGCACACAACTTTCTGTAGTTTCTTATAGTCCTGGGCAAAGCAGTTGCCATACCAAGCCATTATGCACCCACATAGAATGCTTTCTATGGTGCAACTGTGAAAGTTGGTGAGGGTCCTTTTGGACATGCCGAATTTTCTAAGCCTCCTGAGGAAGAAGATAATGGTTCCTTGACTGTCGCATCTATGTGGGAAGTCCAGGACAGATTGTTGGTTATCATCATTCCTAGGAATTTGATGCTCTCTACCCTCTTCACCTCCATTCCGTTGATGTGGATAGGAGCATGTCCTCCTCCTTTCTTCCTGAAAAGAATGATCAGTTCTTTTGTTTTGTTGACATTGAGAGAGAGATTGTTATTATTGCACCAAGACACCAAGCA